CATGTGGACTGAGCTTGAATGAAATTTATGTTTCTTTTGGAAACTTTATCAATCATTATCGAATTGATGTCGCAGAAACTACAACATTCACAAAGCTAAAAACCATTCAGTTGAAACAACCCACGTTGGTAATTTCTCATGGGTCAACAGCAGCGTTTACCGCCTATCGTTCCAATTGGACTTTTTTGTTCGTCATAGTTCACCCAATCACCAAAGTGGAACTGTACCCTTTGTGTCCTCGTCATTGATTTCAGATCATCAATGTATCATAGAGAATTATATGGTAGTGGCAGTGGACCAGAATAATGAAGAGATTTTTAGAAGTTCTCAGAATACAAATTTTCGAGGACTTTCCTTTGATTACAAACCTTTGATATTTTGGTTTTTAAATGGTCAGCTAAACTTAGACAGTTTAAACAAGTCCAAAGTGAGAGTAGAGACATTGATGTGACAGGCTTATCAGAGACTTATAACGTTATACTTCATCCAGCTGGAGAGAAGATACTGGTGTTAGACGCCGATAACAAATGCTGTACATACCTAGCATCCTAGAACTGGTTGAATCATCCACATTTCATGGACATTGTAATGAAAAATAAAGCAAACAAATGGGATAAAAATATACTATTTTTATACTAGTATTTTAAAATGACACAATAAATTACATTAGTTTCAGCATACCGCATAAAGTATTGTTTAGAAGGGAAAAAAATCCGATAAACATCTTTTTTTTTCTCTCTGCCTCCTTGTATCATGTATCAGCAAAAATGGATCAGAAAAATGTAAAATGCAATCCAAAGTGTTATCTGGAATATATTTTTTTTCTTGTTTTTAGCTCACCTGAGCAGAAGGCTCAAGTGAGCTTTTCTGATCACATTTTGTCCGTCGTCCGTCCGTCCGTAAACTTTTTACATTTTCGACTTCTCAAGAACCACTAGATCAATTTTAACCAAAATTGGCACAAAGCATCCTTAAGTGAAGGGGAATTTAAATTGTGAAATTCAAGGGCCAAGTCCCTTCACAAAGGGAGATAATTAAGAAAAGACAAAAATAGGGCTGGGTCATTAAAAAATCTTCTTCTCAAGAATCACTGTTCCAGAAAAGCTGAAACTTATGTGGAAGCATCCTGGGGTAGTGTAAATTCTAAATTGTTCAAATCATGACCCCCGGGGGAAGGGCCAGGTCACAATAGGGAATCAAAGTTTTACATAGAAATATATAGGAAAATACTTTTCGGGAACTACTTGGCCAGAAAAGCTGTAACTTATGTGGATGCATCCTTGTGTAGCGTAGATTTTAAATTGTCCAAATTATGACCGATGTGATAGAGTGGGGTCACAATATGTTTTACAAGGGGGAAATTTGGTAAATAACAGCATGATCAAAGCTATTCAGGAGAGGTATGTGGCCCTTAGGCCTCTTGTTTTCAATATCAGGCCTGGTGCTAACCGTTTAATAACCTCAAAGAGCCAATGGTCATAGACTTTGAGAACTCATAACACTGATAAAGTTATCTGAAAAAAAAGCTTTTAACATAGAATTATAATATTAAAATATCATAGAAATTCAACCACACATTTTTTCCTTATGGTTTGTAATATTGTCCTTGGGACCCTGTTAGAAGAGTGACTTAAGAACGTGCCTTACAAACTTGTAGACTAAGGTTTTCAAGGCTACCTTTTTATACCCCCCGCTTGAAAAGTGGGAGGGTAGATATTAATCGGAATGTCTGTACGTCCGTCCGTCTGTTACGCTTTGGAGTACCCATCTCTTACCCCCAAATCCTCTCATATCACTGAAAGAAATTTGATGAAACTTTCACAGAATCTTTATTACGTATTGCCATTGTGCACCTCCTACTTTTTGATACGATACATATTTTGGATATCTCTTTGCAAAACATGGCCACTGCCATTACATTCATATGGGAGGAGGGGGTATTATTTTATTCAAGCTCATTGCTCACAGTACCTCTAGTTTTTACTTAAATTTACAAAAGAATCCAATGACAATCCCCCCACCTCAAAATCATTTAATGATGTCACAATATGATACTGTGAGCACAGAGCTCACTACAATATACCCCGCCTCCAATATGATTATAATGGCGAAGTCCATATATTGTTATCAAAAACCCGAATAAGTGTTAGAACAAAAAGTAAAATATGAGGTGCACAATGGGAATATATAATAAAGAATTATGAAAGTATCATAAAATTTTATTCAGTGGTATAGGAGGAGTTGCGGACAAGAGGTACCCTTCAGTATTATAGAAAAGAATGGCAGTATCCATATTTTGCTCTGGGAAACCAAAAATGTGTGTCGGATTAAAAGTAAAATAAGAGGTGCATAATGGCACTATGTATCAAATTCTCTGTGCAAGTTTCATTTAAGTTCATTCAGTGGTATGAGAGAAGTTGCGGATAATAGATGGATACCCCAAAGTGTAACGGAGATGGACGTACAGCTAGACGGACGGACGATCATCCCAATCACTTTATACATTGTAGTATATAGGTATACCCTCCCGCTTTTCAAGTGCAGGGTATCATAAGCCGAGCTGGGATCGGAAATGTGTTACATTGAATATTCTCAGATAAATACACAAAATTATGACGATTTCCAAAAGTTAATGAAAATCTACATACATTCAAGAATCTATTCTTGTATTTTTTAGAAACCAGATCTAGCAACAGTATGTTGGAATTCCCATAGATCTAGACCGAAATGCGTTCCATTTAGTCAACCGGTTTTAGCTCCCCTGGGGTACCCATCTCTTATCCGCAACTCCTTCCATATAACTAGTGAATGAAATTTGATGATACTTTCAAAGAATCTTTAATTACATGTTTCCATTATGCACCTTCTATTTTACTTTTCGATATCGTTCCGACACATATTTTGGGTTTACCAAAATCAAAAAACGGACACTGCCATTATATTCATATGATGGGGGGTATCATTTAGTGAACTCATTGCTCACGGTACCTCTAAATTACTTTATTCTTATTCAAAATCTTTTGAACGAGAAAACAACTGTTGTGATTTACAGTTCGATGTCCTGATATATTCCAGGGTACGCAAAATAAAAGACGCAACAGAGGCTGGCATATCTGTTTCAAGATAATGGAAAACTGACAACTAATCTATGTGACAAACAGGATAAAGTCTCTTCTACATTATATGTTAGTCATTAAACAGACACAGGCTACTAACAAATTAGCTGTCCGATCCCTTATCCGTGTTGTTCTATCTACTCAAAAAAAAAAAAAAAAAAAAAAAAACAATTTAAAAAAAAGACGTAGATAAAAGAGAATTTTCGACTGAAAATTTCAAATTCTTTGGTCTTGTTCATAAATATGGCCGATTTTGTAGACGTCGACTCATGCTTGTTGATTTTATACTAATCTGAATTATAGATTCTCTGTTGAATTTGAAAAAAAAAATTAAATAAAAAGATCAATAGCTAGAGGATGCTTACTTCTCCTAGGACCTGGTATGTCCTGTAATTTTCATGTTCTGCAATTTTCCTTTGTTCTCAAATTGTTTTATATACATGTAATGTACAATTTTCGATATATAACTTTCACCTTTTTTCATTGTTATAAGAACTTCATTTTGGATACTTTTAAAGATTGGATGTAAATAAACAAGTCAAATACGTAAAAAGGAATAGTGAAAGTTGACTCTGTTTAAAAATTGGATTCGGTTAAAATTCACTTTCTTAATCATCCTTATTTTCCGCCTACTAGTATTTAGAATATACCACAATCAGTTGACAAATGCCTTGTTAATGAAAACCAAATTGATAAATTTGTTTTGACTTGTTGGGTAAGACTTAATTTTGACAAATGGGTACCTTCTAAACGTAAAGTTTGGGTACTCACTTGCCTAACACAAAGATTAATTTTACCAAAGAATAAATACAGTCTTTAAGTTTTAGAGATTCATGAAAAAAACCAGCTTCCAAACAAAAGAATTTCTAATGGCAATATATGTATTGAAGAGTCGACTCAGGGTTTTCAGTTGTGTTGAATTCAAATGTTGAATATAACATTTCAAATCGAATAAAGCTTTTTGTTCAACCTATTTCTTTTGTGTAAAATTGAAATTACCGTTGTATTTTAAACATAATCCTAGGTGATTAAAAAGAGTTGACAATTTCCAAAATGTCATGATTATAAGTCCATGAAAAATTAACCCTTACTCTTTTCCTGAATACTTAAATTTTGGTTTTTGCGGTGTAACGCGTCAAGTATATTCTGTAATTCTTCTGGTGAGGTAGCAAAAATATGATACTATTTAACAAGATATAATCTAGTAGATGATGGTTTTGTAGGTTTTTAATTGTTATATTGTGGAATAATTCTCATCAATGAATATATTTTTGTATTTTTGCTATTTTTAAAATTAATTTCTATTATTTTCAAAATCAATTTTATTGATTGGATTTTATAAGCATAACGTTAACGTCACGTTGTGTGTCTTTCATTTGACCCAATTAATTATGCGGGAAGAAGACTCTAATAGAAGTCACTATCTAATAAATCAAGTCAATCTGGGTTTTGATGCACTTGAACTTTACTAATTCTGGTTCTGAGGAAAAGAAAAAAGAAGAGAGATTTTATATTTTAAATATATTACCTTACGTTTTGATCTAAATGATACAAGATATTTTCTTCAGAAAAGTGGTCACACACTAGCTAGAACAATACTTTTACATTTCACAATCTTATTTAGTAACATTGCTTGACAAGAAAATCTCAAAATTATATTTTTCTCAAATGATTTTTAATAAGCTTTAATTTGATATATAACGCAAGCAGTAAATTATAAGTGTATAATTTGACTTAAACATTTGCAAATGTAAATAATTTTAAATAAAATATCTTTCTTTTCTGAAAGTGTCCTTATTAATATCTTAAACAAAACAACTTTACGACGTGTAACTTTTTTTTCAACAATGAAACAGTTTATTTGACATAAATTAACAATCCAGAAGACAAGTCCTATGGTGGATAAATTCAGAATACCGTTTTTATGCAATCGGTGTGCCATAGTAAATGGAATTTAAAATGAAAGTTGTGCTTGGGTGGGCCTTTGACCTGGAGAATAAATCTGTTAAATCATAAATGGCCGAGTCAAAAAAGGAAACCCCTGTCGATTACCAAGACAGTAATGAGAATTGTCATTGTCCGATATGTCTAGAAAAGGTAAGAAACCCGAAAAATCTACCGTGTTATCACACATTTTGTGAGTCGTGTATTCAGACTTATATTTCAAGTACGGCGACACGTACGGACAATGAGACATTAAAATCGATCGAATGTCCAGTGTGTCGAAGATGTATCGAGGCTCCGCGGAATGACATTTCAAGTGAAGATTGGGCATCAGAATTACCACAGAATAAACTTCTTTTAAGTATATCCGTAGATCCTGGACAGGATGAAAATAAATTCTGTTTGTTTTGCAAACGATCAGAGAAAGTGGTACCCGCGAAGCACTGGTGCAAAGCTTGTATGGAAGCTATTTGCGAAGATTGCAAATCATTACATAGAAATGTGCCGATTTTGCAGAATCATCAAATTGTAAATCTTTCCAATATCATGGAGGTGAATAGTGAAATTGAGATAGAAGAATCATGCCTTTTGCACAAAGGGAAAGTACTTGATTTGTTTTGCCATGACCACCAAAAGCTATGTTGTAGTGTCTGCCATCTCAAACAGCATAAATGGTGTAAGAATGTGAACACACTTGAAGATATAGCCCTGGATATTAACCGAGATAAAATTCAAAACACTGCTTTAAAATATGTCGATTTGGAAAAAACTGTTAACGATATTCTATCTGAAAATCTGAATAAAGTATCTAAACTTCATACCAGAAAACAAGAAATCTGTTTGGTCACTGAAGAGAAAGTTCAAGAAATCAAATCATTAGTTGATAATGCACATGCCTTGTGGCTTAAACGCTTTGAACAGAATCACGCAGACTCTGTTGGAAATATCGAACTTGCTTCTGAGGAGTTGAGACGGTTTTCCACTACAGTACATGAAGCAAGGACCATGCTACAATCAGTGTTGAAGAGTGGGTCTTCTAAACAATTGTTTGTTACAAATTATAAGTTACAGAATCAGATTTCTAACCACATCACTCGTTTAAAATCGTTGGATATATGGAATTTCTCTGAAGATTACAAGCAAAACAACTGGGATTTTCTGATTCAAATATCCAATGCAAAAGAGTTTGAAGACGTAGTGTTGTCTAAACTACGATCTACAGCAGTCGAGAGAATTTTATTGAGTGCTCAAGACAATATTTTACAAAGGAGGAAAACCATGTCTCAAAAAGACTGGATGAAAGTTAACTTAAGAAAATTATCGCAAATTGAATTACCAGAATATGCTTATTATGGCTTGTTTGTACATGACACAAGAGTTATATTTTCCTTTACTAACCAACATTCGCTGAAGATTTACGACATCAGTGAGGCCACAGGAGAATGTATTCACACTGAAAAGTGTCAGGACAAACCGTACGGACTCTGCCATTCCGGTCTGAGCTTGAATGAAATTTATGTTTCGTTTGAAAACTTTATCACTCATTATCGCATTGATGCTGCAGAAAAAATAGCGTTCACAAAGCTTAGAACCATTCAGTTGAAAGAACCCATGTTGGCAATTTCTCGTGGGCCAACAGCAGCGTTTGCCGCCAATCGTTCCAAAAGAATGATATGTTCTTTGGACTTTTGCGTAATCCATATTTCAGCATATAAACCTGAAGCTGTACCCTTTGTGTCCTCGTCATTGGTATCAGATTTACATTCTTTTATAAGAGATGATATGGTTATAGTTGTGGATGGGAACAACAAAGAAATTTTTAGGAGTACCCGGCATGAAAATCTTCGTGGTCTTGCATTTGACTTAGAGGACAATATTTTGGTTTGTAAGCATAAGACAACTAAATTAAAACAATTTAAATACGGCGAGAGTGAGAGTAGAGAAATTGGTCTAGAAGGTATGAGTGAAACCTACAACGTTATACTTCATCCAGCGGGAGAGAAGATTTTGGTGTTAGACTTCAGTAAAAAATGGTGTATATACCAAATATCGTAGAATTGGTTGATGCATGCGTGTACAATGTATATGAATTTTATTCAAAGTATGTTTTTAATATTTTCAAATATGGACATTTGTTTCTTAAATAGGGTACCCATACTTATTTTTATTACAAGATTCTTACTCAATTTTGGGCATTCGCACTTTAAGTCTAGGGCAATTTGGATCTAATAATTTTATTTCCAACAAAAACCAGTTTCTTGGTCTCCTTTTACATTTTTGCAGAATCCTAGATACTCATTTAAAGTATAATTGAGAGTATCTTGTAAATATATATATGCAATACGGGATTGAATTTTATTTTTTTTTTACCCTGGGGGATTAACCTGGGATCATTTCCGCATATCTTGGTACCAAAGAAAACTAACGATTTCTTTACAATTAAGTATATTTATTATTTATGTCATTTTTAAACAAAATCGGCCAAAAAGCATAGATCAATCAATGCAATTACATTTTATTTGTGTTATGTATCCTTAAAGGTTTGTTTGAATGAAATTATAATTTACATGTATTGCTTATCAAAGTTATATATTTTACATATATTAACTTTATTTTTAATTCACTTTATGGATATTTAATTTTTAACGTGTGTGAGATATTTTTCATATATGTGTATAAAACAAACAAACTTACCTGAGATTAGTTGAACGACAATTGAAGTCCTGCAAAATTTGAAATAACAGACCATTAGTGACATGGACAGGATTTTCTTTATTTTTTTTTTACTGTTTCTTAAACTAAATGATGGTATTTATCCATTTCAATCTACGAACTGCACAGAGAGAGAGAGAGAGAAGCATTATGTTTTATTTTCATTATACATTTGATAAAATTGTGACATATTTTCTGTATTCAATAACATTGTTTTGTGAATGACATAGAAATCTGTCATCATTCAATAACTTGTACAAGTCTCGTATATCAAAACAATAAAGATTTTCAAAGATTTGTCTCGTTTTGGGGTTCATGGGTGGTTTTCAAACCTTGTTTTTTTTGGTAACATACACTCTTTCTGATATCGTAATACTCAGTTTTTGCTAATTCATCATCAGTCAGATTACCTAAAAATTAAAAAATTAACTAATTATAAAAACCTCTAAATCATGTTAAAATACCTGGTATTGTTATTGTCAATATACATGTAGTGCTTATTCCAAATATGAAGGCCACAGATAGAAAAATGAATGAATTGGGAGTGGGCTAAAATAGGCCTTACCTGCTGTCCAATCCCATTAACTTTTATTAGTAAATAAAAATTCTCTATAAATAAAAAAAAGAGGTAAATGATGATGACAGAGTTACTGATAAAAAATGTTCCTGATGTTGAAACTGTAATAGAAGCATTAAACAAACTTTTTTTAAATACTTACGTAATTCCAGAAATTTGAATACTTTTCTGACAACTGATGACACGTTAGATGAGTAGTCTTCTGTATTCAGAATTACTCAGTAACATCTGATCACGTGGTAATACTGACAGCAATTCTCGTAGATAAATGACGTAAAATACTAAATGTATTCTCGTCTGAAAGTATGAAAAAATATTTCTGAAAGTTAACTACATGTATATCTCAAATTATGTTTTTTCCTCAGAAATTTACTATAGGAACCTTAACCTACAATGGCGCATCGGAGATAAAAAAATAATAATACAAAATTGGATGTAGATTTAGTTATATGAGTTCAAATTAACATTACATTTTAGGTTTTGAACTTGATTACTTTGATGATTATAACCTCACGTTTCTGTAGTTATTATAACTTTTACTTTTGTCTTTTTTTGGAGTCCGTGAATAAATCGATTATTGTTTTATTTTTGTGTAAATTATTGTGTTAATTTTTCATGAGTTTGAAACACGATCGTTTAAATTGTGAAATCTACATAAAAGTCCTATGAAGAAATAAAAAAGTATATTTTTAATTCGGGGTAACTGAAATTATTAAAAATATGACATATATTGTTTTAAATGTTTTGCAATGTATCGAAGTAATGTCCGAACGGTAACACGTATGGCACTGAATCAAAATAAAACATAAATTTTTTTTGGAAGTCGTATTGAACTTTAGTTTGGGAGAACTACTTTGAAAAGTTTTCTTGCTGTTGAAATACTTCTTATCATTGCTATTTTGAAGTACTTCCCAAAATATGAACAAGAAAACATTGATGTAATCATCAATTGTCGCCCGGGAAATAAATAAAGTAAACAATGAAAATGAATTTTGGTCAACAAACCCGCTTCGATATATGTAAAAAGGCATGTGTCTAATTGATGGAGACGATAGATAAACTTGTAGTCGGATAAAAATCAATCAAAAACGATACCATTTTAAACTTGATCAATTCCTCAAGGAAATGTTGGCTGCATAAAATATAAATTGAAGTTATAGACACACGCGTCATTTATATTTAAAAATGAATTAATTTTCAATTTTAGAATATAAAACACGAACTGTGCAGAGTACGTTTTTATCCGAGAAGTAAAATTCGATGTTCTAAAAAAAAGGGACCTGTCGTTGTTTCTATAGTAAATGAGAAGTAACTTTATATGTGACGCGCCAAGCAAAAACCTCCCTTATCTCTATTATGACGTAACGTCAAAAGACGCGTCTAAAGTCAACAAGGCAAAAGCGACGTAAAAACGCCCCCTCGGGAGAACAAGGGATGTTGTTTTATTTAAATGCTAAGACAGATTCTTGGGTGTGGTTTGATGAAGTTTACTCTTTAAGAAGTTATTCTCCGTCAGGTGTCTGTATGACCTATTCTTTTCAAAATATTTAGTGTTTCTTTTTTAAAGATGTCCAGTGGTGGTTAAAAAATTTCCCATAAGGCTGTTTTGAAAATGAAGTTTTTTTGCTCTCTCTCTCTCTCTCTCTCTCTCTCTCTCTCTTCAGTTTTAAAAAAATTACGTCGGTAGGTAGGTCGAATTTTTTTGTCGGAAAACTTCAATGTTGAATAAGATTTAAGGCATTTCTAAAATAAAAAAAAGAATAGTTGTTGATTGGATGAGAAAATTCGGGAATGAATAATTTGGAGGTTTTAAAAGATTTTAGTCTTAAAAGTCATCTTAAAAGGTCAAACAAACAAGTTTTTAAAGATAGTTTTTTTTTTAAATTTAAGCTGCTAATATCCAGTTATTTCATCGTGATGCACATGCAAGAAAATTAATAGAAGCAATAAACTGGGAAAAGGTATCTTTTTTAAAATAGCGATGCAGTGAAAATTGACCAGAATTACCTCTCTTAGCTACCCAATTTATGCGGTATAAACTGAGTTGGGCAGTGACCCTGCGGTTTATAAAAAAAAATCGTAAGCTGTTTCACCCCAGTTTACAACGTACATGTATCTATGAAATGGATAGCTAAATTTCCATTTCTAATTTAATTGTTATAATTCATTTAATGTATGAACAAAGTAGATTTTCATTAAAAATCACTTCAACAGTTCAAATTGTACAATATTGAAATGTTACGTCAGGCGGATCGATATGTATTTTTATGCAAGTGATTGTGACATAGGTAACCCAATTTATGCATTAAAAAGTAATTTATTTATCCAAACAAATACTGCGTTATAACCATAAAATTTTAAATTATAGAAGTATATAATTACATCTTTTCACTTCCGTAGATGATGTACGTTATAAAAATACATTGCTCTTTGTTGCTTTTTTCTGTGTAAGTAGTAAGAACTGTACATAATCTTTGACAGCTTGCCAAGGATATTGATAAATAGTGAAGTTTAGTTAAAAATGTAATTCTCTATAGATACGACTCAGAGTAGGTCAACATTACCGCTACACTGCCAAAAAATTCAACTCATTACCGCTACACTTTTTCAGATTTTCGACAGATCATTATACCGCTACATTTTTCCGGCCAAAAACAATTCATTACCGCTACATATTGAATCAGCCCAAAACAACTCATTACCGCTACATATCGATTTAGCCAGGTATGGTTCGGAATGTGAGTTCCAATCAACAGAATTCATTCACTATCTAATCAGAATAAGCATATTTATATAAATAACTCTGCAGTCGAAATTTAATTATTTAGCGTCATATGAACATTATGACCACAAGTTTGTTACAAATCGAGGGAATGCCATCGTCGCAAACCACGGCCAAAATGTACGCCCCTCTCCCATCTGTAGAGAGCTATATATGCGGACTCCGGACCGTGGCTTGAGACGATGAGGGAATGCCGGCTTACTTACAATGTATCGATGGTTATAAATTTAGAAAACAACAATATGTCAAGCAGATGGCTTTCAAGGCTTTAGCGATAGTATTTAAAAAACATTTGACAAAACTTAATATTTTATCTATGAACAGTGCTTGATTTATTTTTTTGTTTTGTTTTATGAAATAAAATTGATTTTAATAATAAAAAAAGACGTCCTGCTCAAAGTCCTATTTTCACCTCTCCGCGATGAGCAGGGGAAACGGGTCTTATGCATTTATAGGTTTTACTGTACACACATATGTGGCTGGCTAACGAAAGATGCAATGTAGCGGTAATGTATACTTTTTAATGTAGCGGTAATGTAAGGTTTTTTGTAGCGGTAATGACTATGTAGCGGTAATGAAAATTTTGAAAATGTAGCGGTAATGATACGCACCCCTATTTAACTTGGCCACTTCTCCCGCAATTAGTTTTTTAGCTGTTGATTTAAAATGAATATTTTGATGAAATGGCGTTTGAGCTTCTCGATTTATTCTTGATATTGTTTAACACCCTCTTATTTTGTACGCAAATACGTAAGAAAAAGTGCCCCCCCCTTCTCCTGTGTCTGCTTATTCTTTTTGTATTAAAGACTTAGTGCAAATTTTGTCGTGAATATACATACAGTCCGGATGCTCGCATACATTTTAAGTTACAGTCCCACTTTCTAAGATATTTTAAGATTGAGAATAAAACAGATTGGACATATGTTTATCGACATTTTCCGGGAAAAATGAAAAGTTCTGTTATTTTGCTGAACTGTTATGTATATTTATGATCCGTTTGCTTAGGTTACAGTGTATACACAATACATCGAATGTGAAACTGGCAAACATGATACATCGCTAAAATGTTATAAGTAATACAAATTGTAACAAATTAATACAAAACGTATGTATAAATTACATCAATTAATTATTTTAAAAAAGTTACAAT